ACCTTATAAGAATGAAAAGAGATCAGATCAATAAAACATCATGTTTACCCGGCGTATACCTAGAATAGCGTATAACTAGAATAAAATGTTGTGTTGGAAAAAATTTACAGTCAATAGGTCGTGTAAATCACATATCAAAGAGAATTTTGGTTGTACCGAGTGGCGATGACGGTGGATACATCGAGACGGAGAGCCATAACCTTCGAGATTCTAGCGACTGTGATGTATAAGGAGCTAGGGATTCCATACAAAGTGGGGAAATTTCCAATGTAAGGAAACAGTAGGGCGAAATCAATTAACGATGCAAAAGGATTGATGAAAATAATAGCAGAAAAGCAATGGATTTCTAGGTTCGTTGGTTCACTCCATTTTTTGGAGTTCGCTTTCGATCTTATATATATACGTATGAGTTCATTTGAGACGAACATAATTTAGTGAGACCGTGAGACCAACTTTTTCTAGTGAAATATTTTAATATTTCTAGTCATCATAAAATATAATATGTATAATATTCTAATAGTATATGCTTTTAAAATATTTCAATGTAAAATGTGTTAAAAATATTGTTTTAGAATATCGTAATATTACATATATTTTTTTTTTGAATAACAAAATATAAAAATATTTCACTAGAAAAAAGTGGTCCCACGGTCTCACAAAATTAGACCCGTCTCAAATGAACCTAACCCTATATATATATATATATATATATATATATATATATATATATATATATATATATATATATATATATATATATATATATATATATATATAACACCCATAAAATTCAAGCCAATTTAAAACATTTTAACCCATTCAAAAACCATTAAGTTATTACAACTTGTTTTCAAAATAGTTTAAACGTCAGAGTATCCCCAGAACCAAATCACAAAATCATGAGATATGAGGAGCGGTACGATCACGCCTTTGCCTTGCCACGATCACCTGATGTACCTGAAACAATAAACTGAAAACTGTAAGCTCGAAAGCTTAGTGAGTTCCCCCAAAATACCCGTACACACACAACCATACACATACAACAATGAACAACATACTATGGGTCCAATCAACCATCAGGTTGGAATACCCCAGGCCCTCAACCGTTGGGTTGGAATGCCAACATACTACGAGTCTAATCATCCTCAGGATGGAATACTCTCGGACCACAACCATCGGGTTGGAATGCCCACACACCTATACATACAGTAACTATTATGGGTCCAATCATCCCTCGGGATGGAATACCCCAGGTCCTCAACCATCAGGTTGGAATGCCCACCTACTATGAGTCCAATCATCCTACCGGGATGGAATACTTATGGCCCTCAACCATCGGGTTGGAATGCCCACATACTAGCAAACATGTACACCTATCAAATAACCATATAACAGTCTGCAAGACAACATGCTAGGCCCTATCATCCTACCGGGATGGAATACCCTCTACTACTGCTCAACACGTGCACATATAACAGGTAATCTCCTACCAGCATACAGAGAGTCAGACCAACTACCGGTCACTAAGCATAGCCACATCCAATCTACCAGAATACCGATCTAACAGAGCATGCCATCATATAGCCATCCTATCTACCAGGATGCCAACTAACATAACACATCAGTAACTAACTCAAATAACAAATCAAAGGGTCGGCCTTGGTGCCTTAGA